AAAGTTTAATAAAAAGGTGGGGAAGCAGGAGTGGCTAAGATATCATGACGCTGTTACCAAATAAATCAGAAATAAGCCTGGCACAGTGTAATCCCAAGTGACTTGCAAGGCTAAGGTAGGAGGATAGAAAGTTTGAGGCTAGCCTAGACAAGTTAGAAAGACCCTGTCTCAAAAAATAAAAAGGACTAGGGATGTGGCTCAGTGGTAAAGCTCTTTGGGTTCAATCCCTAGTACCACCAAAAAAAAAAAAAAAAAAAAGGTCATAAAACCAGGCCTCTTCAAGTCAATTAAATAGATTCTAATGTCAAAAATAAAATCACTGTCAAATCATAAGCTAAGGTAAGATGGCACTTCAAAAAGGCAAATGTTTTGAATGTCTGGTCATTAAGTAAGATTTTCCAAAACTAAAGCCATTGATGCTTCTTCCTCAATCCCCATCCAATCCCACACCTACCTATTTTTCCACACAGGTATCATTGATCAAACTGAATCCACAGTAAACTAAACAAAGTACTCATGATGATATCCTTGACCCTGTCCTGTTCAACATGATTATCAATGACCTGAAGATACAAATGACAAACCAGGTTTGCAAATGGAATAAAAAAAATCTGCAAATAGTACAGAGTGAGAAAATGACAGCTAATGATCACTGCTTTATCATTCCCTCCCTATCATCTTCTCTTTTGCCTAAGTCAGCATTTCTCAAAATGTTCTCTGCTGAACCCTGAAAACAAGACCTGAAAAATGGCTTCCCAAGTTTATAACAGTTGGAAAATTCTACATTTTCTTTCTTTAAAAGCACATCAAAGGTTCTGAAAAGTACTGTAATAGATTTCTGTCTTGGTTTAATTTAATGTTTCCCAAACATTTACTCATGAAATATTCTCATACAGTAATTATTAACTGAGGATGGCCAAAAGTTAAGTCCTAAATCATGCTCAAACTTACTATGGTTAAAAAAAAAAAAAAAAAGGCTCAGTTCCCCTGAGCTACTATTGCCTCACCATACTTCTGTCAACTATTAAACTTAAAAAAAAAAAACAAAACAAAACAAAAAAAAACTTGATACTTACTTCCTGCCTCCTGTTTCTTCATCACCCACTTACTTTTTTCATCACTCAAACTCTGGCTTCAGCTTAGTGCTCTACTGAAAACATTCTTATGACATGAATGACTAATACACAACTGGCAAAACAGGGCCTTGTTTCCTCAATCCCTGAGAAAGTCATATAGGAATACTCACCTTTCTTGACCCCTCTCTTCCCTCAGCTTCCATACACTGCATTGCACCATCTCAGACTACAGCAATGTTCTCTGGTTCCTCTTTCCAATCTTTAAATTCTCAGACCAACTCTTACTTCTCCCTTGAATAAACTGTCCACAGTTTGAACTAATTCCACACCAACTCCTTGCTTTGAACCCACATTTTCAATGGGCTTTTAACTTACTCTTATTACTCATCTCCAAGGACTACATCACTCCAACTGAACTCATCAATTTCCCCACTAAACCTTTTCTTCTTCCTATCTTGATTCCCACTAATGGAATCACCATTTATAGGGGAGCGGGGTAGAGGGTGGAGAGCAGAGTCAGCCACTTTCTCTTCAGCAATCACACAATCTGAGTATGAATATGAATATACCTTGGTTAGAGTATCTACCACAGTGAACTTGACACCACTCTTCTCCAGATCCATCAATCAGCTCTACTAAGATACAGAGGAAATTCAACACACTCGAAAAAATGGCCGAATCTTTTTAATCAACACGATCAAAGCCTCTGAATCACACCCAACTCATGGCTCATTATTCAAACTCCAATACCATATCAAGTTCTCTCATCTCTCTTTAAAATCAATATTAACTTTTTTCCCCTCATCAGAATTAAATGAAACCCCAAACCTATGCTACAAGCATCTCCTAACTGGACACTAAGTATGCCTCAGAACACTCTTTCTAAAATGCTACTCTAACCATATCACTTCCTGGCTCACATACCTCCAGTGGTTTTCCAATAGTTTCAGAATACAGTACAAACCTTTGGCATGCTACCACTGTCTTCCAGGTTTGGATTTTATCTTTCCATCCTTATCTTCTCTATTCCCTATCTTCCACAGCCAGTGTGCCAAATCTAGCCCATTTGCCTGTTTTTGTAAAGTTTTATCAGAACAGTCAAGCTGGGTGCAGTGGTGCACACCTGTAATCCCAGCAACCTGGAAGGATGAGGCAGGAGGGTCACAAGTTGGAGGCCACCCTCAGTGACTTGGCAAGACCCTGTCTCAAAATAAAAAATAAAAAGGGCTGGGGATGTAACTCAATGGTACAGCAACTCTGGGTTCAGTACCAAGTACCAAAACAAAAAACAAAAACAACAACAAAACACAGTCATGCTCATTCACTTATGTATTATCTAAGGGTCCCTTTGTGCTACAATGGAAGAGTTGAATAGTTATACAGAGACAAAATAGCCTGCAAAGCCTAGAATATTTACTATTTAGCTTCTTACAAAAAAAGATATACTAACCTTTGTTCTCACAGATAACTGGCTATTCCCTGAAAATGGTCTGAATTTTCCACCTCCTTTTATTTGTTCATGCCATTCTCATCTCTTGAAAGGACTTTTCCTTGCATTCCCCATTAATTGTATACCTTGTTTAAGAAGAGCTTAAATAATACCTTTTTTCTAGAAAATTTGCCTGATCCCAAAGGTGAACTTCTCTGTGCTCCCAATGTGATATCTGCACCTCTCCTTCACATTTACCACATTATACCTAATTTTGCAATGACTGTCATAAATATATTTCTACTTCTTTTTTTTTTAAAGATTTATTTATTTATTTATTTATTTATTTATTTATTTATTTATTTATTTATTTATTTATATGTGGTGCTGAGGATCGAACCCAGGGCCTCATGCATGCAAGGCAAACGCTCTACCACTGAGCCACAACCCCAGCCCCTATATTTCTACTTCTATATTGTAAATCATCACAATCATCTGCAACCCCACAGAGCATAACAGCACCTTGCTTTATAACTGTTTGCTGAATTGAAATGAACTCTTAGAAGTTCAACTACTGGGTTAAAACCGGTAAGAACAAACATAGTAGGGTGCTGTTCTTATAGCTGATATGGAGGCCTCCATATCTATCTGCACTCAAGAGAATGATACAGAGCAAAGGTTTCTGAGCACTGTTAACATTTTGGGCCAGGAACTTCTTTATTGCATGGAACTGTTCTATGCACTGTAAAATGTTCAACATCATCATTAGCCTCTATCCATTAGATTCCAGGGTACCTCCCCAGTGAATCAAAAATGTCTCCAGATATTACCAAATGTATCCCAGGTGGCAAAACTACCCCAGTTGAGAACCACTATTTCACAGCTTTCCAAGTACAAGCTAACAGTTAAGATTTTGTTGCCAATAATATAGACTACATAGTAACCATAGTATAAGGTCCAGATTAAGAGATAAGAGCCATAGAGGATTCAATGCTAGTTGACTCACACTCTGGATTTTAAAAGGACTTTGGAAAACTGGAGTTCATTCAATTAAAGGTGACAAGGCCAATGACAAACTGGGGGAAAATGTTGCAAGAGGGATATATTTAACTAAATGGAAGTGGTTAGCCTGAACAAGAGATGAAGAGAAACCCATGATCTTTACATGATCTAACTGGCTGTCCTGAGACAGGAAGATTATTCAGGAAGGCAGACCTAGAACTAGTCTGCAGCACCTGCAAGAAGGCAGATTTTGGTTCTATATTCTAACAATCAAAGTGGCCAGCACAAGTACTGGGCTGAGCTGTGAAAGACCGCACTTTTGTCATTCTGGAAGTGTGAAGCACAAACCAATGAATCGATGTCAGAGATTTCTACATAGGGCAGGAGGTAGGACAAAACGGTCTCTCTAAGGTTCCTTCTAGCTCTGAGATTCTAAATCTAGACAAGGAAAAGCCAAATACCATGAATAAGCTATATGTATAAGCCACATGTAATTTCAAGAACTTAATTATGGCAAAAAAAATATATTTTCTTAAATAATTTACTGTATTTCTTCATGGTATCATCTTACATTTAGCACCCAGCACTACAACTATCAGTGATCTATTTATTTAAATTAATAGTTTCTGAATAAAGTTTAGTTTTTTTTTAACCATACATATATATATATATATATATATATATATTTTTTTTTTTTTTTTAATGGCACTGAGACTTGAACCCATGGCACTTTACCTCTAAGCTACATCCCCATTTGTGTTTGAGATAGGTTCTTGCTAAGTTGCAGAGGCTAGACTTGAACTTGCATTCCTCTTGCCTAAGCCTCCAGTGTTGCCAGAATTATAGACATGAGCCACTGAGACCAGCTTAGTACCTTTAAACCATATCTTTTATTCCACTTATCATCACCACTAGTACAAATTGTAAAAAAAATGCTTTACAATTTTCAAAGCATCCTGACATTCATTACCTCACATTACCTAGGTATAAACATGACAACTTTGTTTAGGTAACCTACTCTCATTTGCTGTCTTGTCTGAATTTCTAATGTAATTAAGCTAGCCTTTATTATTCATTAAACATTCTCTAAGTTAATAAAGCATATTCCAGTAGATACTCATCTCCAAAACATACCATTTATAAACAACCCAGAGATGAGCCAAATCTAGTTAACGCACTATCAGATATGCCAAATTTAGTTATTCTATCATGTGAAACATGGATTTACTTCAGTAAAATTTTTATTTTATTTATGATTTGGGAAAGAAAATTTGAAATATTATTATTTAGTATTCCTAAATTTCAATGTAACTATACAATCCAAAAGTTCTAGGAAGCAGACAGAACAAACATGAGGCATATTGTTGAAAGGCAAAACCATTACAGGCTCTAAGCCCAGGGTCTCCTTTACTCCCCTGTTAAAACTGCCAACAAGAGTTGTGTAAGGAGTTGCCCCAAAGCCAAAATGGGCCCTCACCCACTGCTTTACTTACTTCTTTACGTTTTGTTTCCGGACATTCCGACTGTAGAGTAAGGGTTGCACCTTCAATATTTCTTGGCATGGGTGTGGAACCAGGGTTTATAGTCAAATGAATTTGATCTGGTGAGATAATGTGTTGCACATAACCCTGGGACATTGCTTCCTGATCTATTAGGTGGAAGCCCTCTTCACCCCCTACTAAAAAAGGCAAGTGTTCTCCACACTGTCCATCGTCATCTTCATCTTCCAAAGTGCCAGGGTCCTGCTCAATAAGAACAGTGGTCCTATCATAAACAGTTCCAGATGAGGAAGGCACCAGTCCGTTGGTATCCACAAACCTGAGCATCTTGTCATCGGGGGTCAGGTCATCTTCCTCTGCCTCAAAGAAGATGATGTTGTCGTCTGGACTGTGTTCCCCCATGGTTCAGTCGTATTCAGCCCAATTGTGAGAAATGGAAAGATAATGAGCTTTCTGCAACAGACAAAACCAGAGTTAGAGCCACACCACAAAATCTTCCTTCTATCATCCTCAGCAACCTTAGGGCTCATTTTTCCTCTCATTTAAAGAGCAAATCAAAGCAAATGAAAAAATCATCTTCCTTGGAAATAAGTTCTAAAATTTTAACTTAAGACAGCCAAGTCATTTTTTATGGAAAGCAATAGTTTACCCCCCTCAGAATTGAAGGAATAGTAGCAGAGTTCATGCGACCTCCTAAGTGTGCTTTTTTGTCAAGCAATTTGAAGACTGTTCAAAATACCTAAAGAAGCAAACAGTGGCTGCTTCAGTGGCTGCGTGGCTATAAATCTTAAAGTAAGGAATTCCCCACTCAATATCCCCCAAATCACACCTTGAGGCACTTCAGGGCCTCATGTAGTCTATGGTGGAAAGAGCAAGGACCTATTTATTCAGCAACAGATCCCAGCTTTGCCCTTACTACTTGCGTAACTTTTCAGTGCTCATTTTTCTTATGTGTAAGATGGAACTAGTAATTTCTGTTCTCTCAAAGTTATTATGAGAAATAAAACAGATAATGTATGTAAAGCACAATACCTGACAAATAGTAGAGGAACAAGTGAGAATTCCTCCCCTCCTTCCTAGAACAAGTGTTTCAGCTTCTGGATGGAAGGGCTAAACCCCAAAAAGGCACATCTAATGAAGATCACTTTAATTATTTATCTCACAAGACAATAAGGTATGAACCAGAAGATATGCTTGGATAGTGGGCGCTCTGCTGGGAGGGAATGTACTTAGCATATTACATGACACTTCTTGGAGTTCAAGAAATGTCATTTAAATGAATAAAAGACATGCAGATATTCTCTCTTAAAAAGACAGTGTCTCCTGGGAAGACACGCTCTCTTGGTGAAAATATCAAATCTGAAGCTTTCATGGACTGGAATAGTGATTCTTCCTTCACCGGCAAACACACAGGTTCTATAAATGTGGGTTCCGCAGGCAGAACAGAGAATTTTAAAATAATCAGTACATCACTTAGTTTTCAGTCCGGCTTTGCACTTTATCGTTCTCTTCTGCTGAGGGTTAGAAAGTGAGCCTTTACGTAGTGAGGCGACCGGGAGAGGTAGTTACCAGAGACAGGTCAAGGGATCTAATCCGGGAGGAACCGGCCCGACCCCTTGCTTACGCAACCCCATAGATGCACGTTTCGTTTCATCTGAGAGAAGAGATAAGAGTTCCCAGGGACCCAGTGGACTGCCCAGCACCTTTGGCGGCAAAGCGGAAACCAACTGTCCGGGACAAACAAGACACACAGCTTTGAGGGTAGCCAAAGAGGAGTGCGAACGGAGCACCCTTGAGAGAAAGCTGAGAAAGGGAAGCTGTCTGGGATAGCCCCCAGTCCAGGACTACACGGAAAAACCCCAAGACAAGCGGGGGGCTCCCAGCCGGACGAAGAGGGGCAGGGTCCGGGTCTCCATGGAAACAGGAAAGGGGGGCTGGATACCCATCCCCATGGAAACCGAGAAGGGGTGGGGTCCTTACGGCGAGCGGACGGGTCTCTACTGGGAACTGCTTCAGGAGGAAGCCTAGGTCCCCTGCCCCCCGAATAGTCCCAGCCATAGCCGAGTCCAGTTTCGCCTTTTACCTCCGCGGCTCCCGGCAACAGCGGCGGCAGCAGCTTCTCCCCTCCCCAGCGGCACCATGATTGCCCCCACCTTCCCCTAACGTCACTTCCGCTTCCGCTTTCCGGAGGAAGGAGGGGACAGCGGCTCCGCCCCTCTCAGGCGCTGTACTTCAGCGGCCCGAGGG